ATGATGATGATGATGATGATGATGATGATGATGATGATGATGATGATGATGATGATATTGAAGTAATCTGAGTGTTTCAGTTTCCAATAGAGATACCAAGATACCAGATATCAAGAGAAGAGAGTTCAGTTAATTAACAACACCAGAAAACTCTTCAAAGAATTCCTTTATTAACCTCATGTTTTATAAAATACTACAGTACAATATTAATTATGTATTTTTACCAAATTTATTTCTGCTCTGCAAGATATACTGTGATGGAATGTATCCCAGAAACACAGGAGGTTTGCAGGAAGAGGCTGAAGGCAGACGCCCCTAGCGATTCACAGACTACATCTAGTAGTTATGCAGGTGGTTGCTTTAGTCTGGCAAGATTAATGTCAGGCCCAATCAAGAATGACACATTTGGTTATTTCTGAATAGTCGTATTTTATTGTGTTCACTTATAGACAGAAATCTTGGCAAACTAAAGCAATTGCCAGCATAACTATTAGATACACTGTGAATTTACTAGTTTAACGTAGTTGGAAGGGACCTTGCAGGTCATCTAGTCCAATCCCCTGCCCAAGCAGGAGACCATACATCTGCCTCCTCCTAGGATCGAACTCACAACCTCCTGATTGTGAGGTGAGAGCTCCGCCTCTAGGCTAGGGGTGAGTCCACCTTCATCCTCTGCATTCCAGGCTCTGCTGTCTCTTTGCTCTCTGGGAAAGAGCTCTCCCTACTGTGACTCTACACTACAATTCAACACACACATCCAGGCATACGATACTAAGAAAACCATTGCTATAACTTTTGGAATTGTTTCTTGCACCAAATTCTCTTACCTCATCCTCATCATTTTCCAATATTCATCCGTTTGCTTTGAGAATGCTTCCTGTGATGAACTTGGCACCTCTGATATCATTGCCTGCTCATACAGTACAGAAATTGGAGCTGCAAATTCATGGGGGGAAAAAAACTAATCTTAGATTTGTTGTTGTTTTTCATTAGAAATCTGTATTCATTGCTTTTAGTGAATAGTCCTGGCTCTACCCCATCCATTTTCCAAATGGAATGGGACAGCTCAGCACCGCCAACATGCCAAGGCCATGTCACCAGGGGCATCTCTGAGCTGCCATCTTAGTGCGGGACATTGTCATGGGGAACTCATGGAATAATTTGATGAGCCTCCTGTGGCAGCTCCCTTTGTGGGGGAGGGGCGCTGTAACATTTTACAAAGGCAAGGAAACCTTTGGAGAAGGGAGGTGAACTTCCCCCTGCAAAAGGTGGGCTAAACAGGAGTCATTGACAGTTGCCAGACAACTGTCACCATCCCTGATTGCCCCTCTCCTCATCTGGGAGCCATCAGGGTCCAGCACAGTATGACAAAGGAGAAGTCCGCAATGCCGAGATTGGCACAGAGACACACTCCAGCGTGGATCCGCGGGGAAAAAGGAATGAGCAGGATGTGCTTCTTGAGCATGGACAACACCAAGGCAGGGAGGATGTGATTTTTCGTACACTGACAGCACAACACCAAGACTGATACAGACACCACTCTCTCATGAGAAAAAAGGAATGGACAGGACATGCCCTCATGTGTCGGCAGCACAGCACAGAGACTGGCACAGAGGCCACCATCCCGCAAGGGCCCATGGGAAAAAAGGAACTGCCGAATGTGGCCTGGGCGGAAGGCCTCCTCAACTGGTGTGTAGCAAATGGGATGTGGTGCTGCAGAAGAGGTATCAAGTTGAGTTGATACCAACAGTGAGTTTTCCATGGTGATTTGTTCCATTCCGAAGTGGCCACGACAACATGTCTGTAGCAAGTGGCAGTGCCGAGATGTCATAGAGTCTTCACAAAACAATGTGTTCATGGGAATTTTGGTGTACGAAGAAGTTCCAATTAGGATATGGGTATCAATGGCACCCAGACATGGCAGTCGTTTCTCAAACAGGGAACATATGGGAAACATTGGTCATTTTCCATATGAATATCTTTAATTTAGCTCCTGCTATCTAAATACTGCTAAAACTCTCATTCCTATAACTTTAACTAGGAGACAGTTCATCATAGGACAACAATTTTTGATTCAACGTACCTCAAACAGATTAACTTACAGAATGCATCCAAAATCTGGGACCAATGACCAATGACTCCCGTGGCAAATTTTATATAACATTTTATGACATAACCATTACCATAAAATAGTTTAGGATGTAATACAAAATGTCACGAAACACTTCTTGTGTTAATGTTTAACTGTGCTATACAGTTCAAATCTGAGCTATTTTCAAGATAAATATATCACTGGATGTATCCCAACTTTTCTACAGAATGTAGTACATTACAAATTCTGTCATTTTTTAAAAAGTATTAAGGAACATGGTAAGAAAGTATCTCAAATGCTTCTCGATTTCAAGAAAAAGCTCACATTATGAAAATCCTGGTTTTAAATATGTTAGGACCCATGAAACTCACTTTCCAAAGAGATTGACTTTCTATACTTTGAAATGCCAAATTAAAATTAAAACTTATCCCAGAATTTTTAATAAATCTACTGCAAATTTCAAAGCTGAACATTTACAAGATTTCCTGAATGATTTCCAAGATTCTCATTTGTAAATAATTGTTAATAATTCTATATCCTTTTTGAATGACACATAATATTAGAATTTGAAAAAGACTAAGAAAATGGAGGGAAATATTATCCAAAATATGAATAATCATTCACTCCAGAAGGGAAGATTTAAAAACTTAGAACGTTAAAATCTTACCTCTACTGCAAAAGTCTGAGGATTCTTCAAGACTGGGGAAAGACTGCAATAAACATAAATAGAGATCTCTTGAGTCTGTTCATATAAATTGATTATGGGACAAATTGGAAAGTTTATTTTTTGCTAGACATCTGATGGCACAATAAAATGTTGCATGATAATGCCTACAGTATATCCAACTAGGCTTGAAAACCAAGTCAGTTTTCCCCCCACTACTTGCCAGGTGGTCAAAAAAGGGATTATTTTAGTTATCTTGCTATTTAATTATTATGTCAATGATATGGTAGAGAGAATGGCTTTGTGAGTTAGAAGGACAATCTCTAAATTTGATAAATAAATAAAATGAATAAAACTGAATAAATTAAAACCTTTAAATACGTTGCAATGAAATGTTTCCATACTATAGGCACTTGTAGACAATGTCAATAATTAAAAGGTTCTAAGAAATACAATAAAAAGTGGTATGTACCAGGTAGACTAAAAGCTTTTGAGGTCAAAGTAATAATGAACTTATCTTATGGCTTCTACCTGCATGTAATATGTAAGGATCAAGAGTCATTATAAGTCATTACAAATAAGCACATAGTCATTAGAACATGTTTAACCAGGATTTCTAAGCCTTCAACTAAGCACAGAATGGCATTAAATGAAATTTGAGTACAAATTGGGCATACTGTACATTACCTATTGGCCTAAGTTTTTAAAATTCAAGTCATTTGGTTGTTGTTAGATAAATTCTAGTTTTCTTGGTGGAAATAACTTAGATACTGTGGATTTAGACATAATGCACTGATCCCAACAATCAACAGATGCTCCCACCCCTCCAAATTATATAAACGGAGCTGGATGAATGGAAGATCATCTGGAAGCACCATATGACTGTATGACAGATAGAAACAATTCTGAGACTTCCAGATGAAAATGTCAGTTGGTCTTACCTGAACTGCATTTCTCAAAGATCCTGTGGGAGGAGTCATTGATGGGTTATTCTCACGTCCAATCTGCCTAGAGTCTGAGGTTAAAGTTGAAGCCACTCCCCTGTACTTCCTCTTCCTGACTCCAGTTTAATCAAAGGTCAGTATTCCACAGATGAATCTGGGAAGGAAAGATAAGGAAAAACGACAGCCCACCCAGAACCCAACTGACCAACAGCTAACAAATCAGACTCAGGCCCTCCTCACGCTAGCACCCTAACTAGGATGGGAAGTGACTCCTCCTAGAGGACCTTTGAGAAATGCAGTTCAGGTAACATTCAACTGACATTCTCCAAAGTAACCTGTGGGAGGAGTCATTGATGGAATATACCAAAGCTAGATGTCCCTGGGAGGGAATCAGATGCCTGAGCCCTTGAGTGTCCAGCACTCCCTGTAGAACTCTCTGACCGAAGGAAGCCTCTGCCGAAGCATAAGCATCCAACCAGTAGTGCCTGATGAAAGGCGAAGGGGAAGCCCAGGCCACCACTCTATAAATATCCTCTATAGGTGCCTGGGTTGACCAGGCCGCCAACATGGCCACACTTCTGGTGGAGTGGGCCGTCTGGCACCAGAAGGCTGCATGCCTTATATGCCCTGGTGATAGCTAATCTAATCCACCTACCAATGGTTGAGGGATACACCCTAGCCCTGAGGGTAGAAGGCTGGAAAGAGTCGAACAACACCTCAGACTTCCAAAAAGGAGAGGTACGTTTCAGATAGATACGCAATGCCCTCCTCACATCAGGCACATTCCCTCTCACTAGAAGGCACCGGACAGAAGTCCGAAAGAACCACCTCCTGTGCCCTATGGAAGGGCAAATTAATTTTGGGCAAAAATGAAGGGTCAAGTCTGAGAACGACCCTGTTTTCATGAAAGCTGCACAGATCCACCCTTGATGACAGCACATTGATTTCAGAAATGTGCCTAGCAGACGTAATGCCCACCAGGAACACCACCTTAAGAGTGAGGAACTGAAGGCTCATTGTCCTCAATGGCTCAAAGGGAGCTCCAGTCAGTGCCTGCAGGACGGTAGACAATCCCCAGGTAGGAAAATGATGAACCACACAGGGTTAGTTAGTTCAGCTCTCCTATCCTCTGCCTTGAGGTTGTTGGTGATGTCGCCCACCACGAGGGATGAAGAGGACGCCAGAGCCGCCATGGACGCATCCATCATCAGAATCTGTAAACCTGGGAGAAACTGGGATCAAGATTGTAAAAACAACGATCATTGCCCCCCGGAGTGGGAAAGGCCCCAGGCTTCACCCAATGGGACTTGAGCACCTCAATAAAATTGGTGGAGTTGGAATATCTTCCTTCTCCACTGGCAGCTTGTGGAACGGGCCCTTTGGCTTGCTACCCGATAGCCGGGGTCTCCACAGCAGTGGGAGCACTCCCCAGGTCAGCAATGGCCTTCACCTTGCAAAGAAGGGAACCAAACTGAGAGGAGGGAAAAAGACCTGTGACCACTGATGCCTCTGGAACAGGATCCTCATCTTCAGAGAAGTCAACCTCCTATTGACCTTCCTCATCTAAGACAGACCCTTCAGTAGTCACAGAAGGGGAGCCCAGTTGTTGCTCCTGAGCAGTCAAGGTTCCGAGTTGGGTTGGATGACCTCTTGGGTGTATCACGAGAGGAACTTTGCCTAGAAGAGCTGGATTTCTGCTGCAATCCTGCAGCAATACTCTGAGTAATAGCCTGGGCAATGATATGCTGAAAACTCTCTGGGAGATCTGGGAATGCCAGGGAAAGAGTGGGAGGCCCCAATTGCGGCCCTGATTCGACTGATTGAGGGGCAAGCTGGGCTCTGCACACTCCTGCAGCCTGCGGGTCAAACGGAACCTGCTGCCTGGGTGCTCAGGCAGGAGAGGGGAGGACATGGAGAACCCTCCCCTGGATGATCCTCGAGATCTAGGAGGGGGACTCAGCGACAGGTGTAAGCCTATTGGGCGAACGTGTTGAGAGGGCGAAGAGCTGATACTATCTCTAGCCCTTCTCAAGGAAACCTTGGTGGTAACTCTATCAGACCTCTTGTGGGTACCCCCTTTGCTGGATGACTTCGATGTGCTCTTCCTTCCCGAGGTCTTCTCTCTGGCTGCAGTAGAAACCCTGGAAGTCTCTTCGCAAGGATCGGAAGTCTCAGAGAATTCCGGAGCAGCCGCCCCCGGTCGCTTCGTGGCATCTGCCATCTTGGCCAGCTCCCCCAATTCCGCAAGCTACTTGTAGCTCTGAAGCGCCTCTGTGGCCTCCTCCTTGCCCCCAAACATGCTAGGGCTGCTGCCTAGTGACCATGTTGAGCTCCGTGCCTCTGTGCACGTGGCCCCAAAATGGCGGCGCCAATCCGCTGCTCGATTGCACCGTTGATCCGCAGCTCAAAAAGCCAATTGCCAACAAAGCAGCAGGAGGCTGTTCCCCAATTCACGGAGGAGGTTGCCTCTCCCGTGCCCCTCCAGCACTCACTGCCATGTGTGTCTTCCTGGAAGCCTGTACCTCTCCAAAATGGCAGCCGCAGATCACGCAGCCCGAAGCCTCTAGGAGCTTTGCCTCAGCAAGCACCTCCAGCAAACCGGCAGAGCTCCAGCAACCCCCAATGGAATGTGATGCGCTTCCTGGCACGCAGCTTCGGAAGTCCCTCCAATGACTGCCAGTGGTCTTGGAGGTTCAAACGCTCCTGCCAAAGCCCAGCTCTTGCCCACCACATCCACTCTCAGGGAAGACAAGAGGGAGGAGGTGGGGAAGTCAAGGACGGAAAATTCTCACAAGAAAAAAACAACAACAAAAACCACAGGAGCCAAGCAAAAACAATCCCTCTGAGACTGAGATTAAATTGGAGCCAGGAAGAGGAAGTAGAGGGGAGTGACCTCAGTCTCTAGGCAGATTGGACATGAGAATAACCCATCAATGACTCCTCCCACAGGTCACTTTGGAGAATATGGGAAGCACTGCAGTTTAATCAGCGCAACATAAAAATAGACAAAAATGAACTCAAAAGAGACATGATTGATAAATCACTGCACAATGTTATGTTTCTCTTTTGTAAAAATGAAGCAAGATAATTGTGCAATATGAAATCTTCAGTTAAAGAAAATATAACTTCACCTATAGTTACCTTGGCTTTTAATTTTTTTAATTTTTAAATTTTTTTTAATTTTTTTAAAATTAATATTTCTTTCTCCAGGTGTAGGATATAGCCTCAGTGAAATGTGAATAAAAACTAATGCAACCTCCTGAATTGTTGGACGTAGATCCAAGTGATTATTGGAACAATGGAACAATAGTTTGAATCCTTCCCAAACTCTAAAGATTCATAGGACAATAAACCAGAGGTGGGTTGCTAATTTTTTTACTACCGGTTCGGGCGTGCTCTCGTGTGAGCATGATTCTTCTGCACATGTGCAAAAGCTTCTGTGCATGCGCAGAAGCATCTGGGTGTGTGGGTGAGCCTCCCGCCACTGCTATTACCGGTTCAGGCGATCCAGGCCAAACTGGCAGCAACCCACCTCTGCAATAAACCCATACTACTATAATAAGTATCTGCAAAAAGTTATTTATGTCTTTCTTAAATTTTCATAGCTGAAAAGCCCCAGGTTTGGGAGATTTTGGAAGCCTAAAGAGGATGTAATTTATCATAGCAAATAATTTTATGAAGGTCTCAAATTTTGCCTAGCTGAAGGATACTGAAGCAATATATAATAAGACTGGTCAGGGCTCTATGCTAGTCCAAGGAGCAAAAACATTAAAAGATTTCTTCAAAAAACATATATGGAACATATATTTGCTTGGAAGATTAAATTTCTGTTTAATGATTAAATTTGTTATTACGTTTAGCATCCATTACTGCCCTACTGCATTTTTGATTATTTCATTGACAATTCAACAAGCTTGTTTTCATTTCATTCTCTGCAACTTTTGCTCTGAAATTTTGCCAGTGCCATGTCTGTAATTTACATCTTCACGTAAGTTGCTTAAAAAAAAAATCACTCAGAAAGCTTAAAAAAGGAATCATTCCTGTTCCATAAAAACAATTATTTATTTCCTTTTGAAATTTGTTTTAATTAACTAAGGCCATTTTACAGATGTGTATCAGTTTCACAAAAGCATTCCCACTTCCCCAAGAATAAGAATATTTTATTTGTTCATTATGATGTGTTTCTTCATGGGTCTACCCATGAAACATTTAAGACAGTTGAATACTTCTGCAGCATTCACCATATATAAATACTAGTTCTATAAGAAGAGCTGCTATTATTAGTTATTGATGATGATGATGATGATGATATGATGATCTTAATCTTAAATTGGAAGGATGGAAACTCTGAAATATTAGTGCTATCTGTAATTTTAGTATGTTGTTGAGAAATAAAGAAGTATTTGCAATTCTCTGACATAGAAACTCATAATTTAGAGATTTCTATAAAAAGCCAGCATCAATATGTGCATAATTTGTATATAATTTTTAAAGAATATTAATCTATGATTAGGTATTTTTTTTCTTGTACTATGTACTTAGAAATAGAACAGCAAATCAGAATTAAGCAGCATAATTCAGTTATGTATGTATGTATGTATGTATGTATGTATGTATGTATGTATGTATGTATGTATGTATATGGTTGTTATGATTGTTCTTTTTTGTATAAGTGCATAAACCTTGATAATTTAAATTATTTAAGAATGAGTAAGGAGCCAAAATTCAATTGCAGACAGCTTTCATTTCACAAGAGGCTGGGCTGAATGTTTTCTTATGGAGAGGAGATGAGGAGATAGCTTTGGTGGGATTGTGAAAAGGTTTTCTGCTTAAAAAAATTCTGGCCTCAAAATATCATGCTTCAAACTCTAAATTACTGTTTGAAAAAGATAGAAACCTGACTGACAATCCAATGGGCTTATTAGCCCAGTTTCTGGACTAACTAATAAGCCATGGTATAATTATCTCCTAATGTTTCACCAGCAACTCTTGCTGCCATCTTCAGAGGTGATTGTGTCTGAGTTGACACTGGGCATGAAAACCTGAACCCACTTATTGAAAGTATTGTAAAACTTTCCAATGATTAAACAAATAATCTGCACTCATGTTATTACCTAGTTTGGGTAATGAAACATCTGCAAGAAAACAACCAAGCTCAGAGAGCACCAAGGACCCCTCATTTCAACCCTGAGTTACAGATATTCTTCTTTATTCATAACAAATAATCTGAAACACATCTGAAACAGAAATTTCTGATTCAAGTTTGAAACATTCCACCCAAATAATTCCATTTGCATTTGTCCATCAAATTTCAGTAACCTGACCTTTTTTGGGGGGGAGGGGGGTAGCAAACAGTGTTGTGGGAGAGAAGTCAAGTGTTGTCTGTCTGCAGTAGTTTCCACTTTCACCCCAACTGGAACTGTAAAAAAGTCACAAAGAAAGAAGCACATTTCTTACCATAACCAGCTTGAGAAGGTCTGCAGCATTTTTCTTTTCTTGTTCTGTTCTTGGTTCTTTAATCATCCTTTCTTGCATCTCATCTTCTTGCTTAATGATTTTGTAAATGTATTCCTAACAATGTGACAAGTAAGACATGCTACTTAACTATTTTATATATAATTTAAAAATACATTTCATAACCTTCCCACGGGAGGAAGGGGGGCAGGGAGAGAAGAAAAAATTTCACCAAGCATTGAGATTCCTAAGGATAATTTCCACTGAACCCAGTGACAGCTACTATTGAGTAAGCATATTTTATCAGGGTAACTAATAGTAGATATGAAAACTAATATTAAGTAAATAAATATTCATTTCAATAACCTTGCCAAATTCAACTAAATTTCATAATAGTATTATTTGAGAAAGACAGTACAGGATTCCTTAAGGCAATGATGGTGAACCTTTTTTGGCTCATGTGCCATAAGTGGAGGGAGCGCAGGGGGGGGTCGTGTGCGGGTGTGCTGCACCATAATGCAATGTGCGGCCACCTCAGTGCACATCCGTGCACTACAGTTGCAAACCCCCATTTTTTGCATGCTTTTTTCGCCCTCCCCAGGCTCCAGAGGCTTTATAGGAGCCTGGGGAGGGCGAAAACAGCCTCCCCCCCCCCTGGACGCCCTCCGGAGGCTTCAGGGACCTTCAGGAGGCTTCCCTGAAGCCTTCGGAGCAGTCAAAATGACCCTCCGAGCAAACCGGAAGTCCGTTCCTGAATTTCCGGTTTGCCCGTAGGGCCGGCTTTTTGCACTCCGGAGGCTTCACGGAAGCTCATGAAGCCTCTGGAGGGCCTCCGGGGGGGACAGGGAGTCTGTTTTCGCCCTCCCCAGGCTCCTATAAAGCCTCTAGAGCCCGGGGAGGGCGAAAAATGGCTTTAAAAAAGGGTGAACTCAGGCGGCCAGCATGCACATGCGCACTGGCCAGCTGACAGGGCAGCGCCTCACGTGCCCTGACAAATGGCTCCGCGTGCCACCTGTGGCACGCATGCCATAGGTTCGCCATCACTGCCTTAAGGTGTATTGTTGATAATAACTTTATGAAGGGAAATGTCATATATTTGTAATATCTAAGGTATGGTCCTGAAGCATGTTCTTCTTGCCAGATCTATTTGGGTGAGCAGAGACATTCAATATGATCTGCTGTACATTGATCATCTCTCTTTTTATGCCTTCCATTCTTCTTGTTTTTCTTCATATATCATGCCTCACTTGCTCTCAACTACATTAAAACAGCCTGTTGTCAAAATTGTTTGGGTAGAAATTCACAAGGTATTTTAGTTTTGAACACCTTTTAAATACAAATTTTGTATTTCTGCATCCTTCCAGAATAATTTGATTTTTATGGTGGACCAATACATCCAGAGTCATAAGCACAAATTCTATTCTGCTTATAGGGAAAATAAATGGATAAGAAAACAAAGACATTATGTTGGGTTTTGGGAATATCAACACACACTTTTATCCATGCCAAAATCTTACAATCTTACTATCTGTCCCAAATATATGCTCATCTCTGTTCTGGTACTTCAGCAAATCCCACCCTGTTCTGGTACTTCAGCAAATCCCACCCATCTTCCATTTGTCCTATTGTCATACATGAAAGCTGTTTCTTCCTTCCTTCCCACCATTCCTTTTACATACATAATGGTTTAAATATCTTTTCAGTAGTTTCTTCCTTTACTCACAAAAGCAAATCATTTTTTAAATTTTTTAATAGATACATGAGTAACCTATCTGTATATTGGCAGACTTCACTTTACCTTGACAGAAGATTGCAATTTGTCTCTTAATTCATTACTGATTGGCTCATACTGGATTAGTCGTCGAATTTGGAGCACATTTGGACATTTTTTTATAGGTGCAGGAGAAACTGCTAATTCCTTGAACTCAATGCACAGGCCTTTCCAAGCATGCATTCCAAACGGAGGGCCAGGAGTCTTTCTCTGAATCCAGATGACAAAGGAAAGAGGAGATGGGTGCTTATTATGTAATTCTATTGAATTTTCTTCTGCATAAAATGTTCAGTAACAGCATATGATCAAATCAAATGTCAGCAGAGACAGGAATAATTAATATTTGCAGAACAGGAATTATATCTCAAGTAAGTAAATTTAGAAAACTGAAATTACAACCAGTCCTCACCTATTACAATAGTGGGATTGGCAAATATATTGCTAAGCAGCAGAGTAATTAAGCATGATGTCATGTGATTACACGGATGGCAGGTCCAGTAATGATGGTTAAGTGAAGCACCACAGGTTGTAAATTGCAACGCCATGTGACCACAACTTGTGTCCGACCCATTGCGACCCCATGGAGAACGTTCCTCCAGAATATTAATTACCTCTTGTAAATCAGAATGTGATTAAAATTCTGAATTTGTCAGAAATTAGTACTTTGTTTATTTCACTTATTAAGCTTCTTAGCCAACCAGATGCCAATGAAATTGGCAGAAGCATCCATGTATACGGTGACAATCTACAAGATGACAGAGTGGATGTCATAAAACAATCCTCATCCTTTTTGAGCATGCATGTGATGTCAACATATACACAAAAAGTGAAAAGCTCAGATTAAAATATCATACTCGCTATCATGCAGATTTTGACATAGACACATCCCTACAGATGCAGCTGGAAACACGGCTTAAAAGACAAAAAGTGAAAAGAAAGTGTAGTGTTACTTAAAAAAATCAAAAGTGTCATATCATAGTCAAATATTGAAACAGTTATGAAAGTTATCTACCTCAACAGGAGGAAAGTTTTCCCAATCTCTGGATTGTAGACTATAAGGAACAATGGTGTCAGAGTCTTTTTTCATTATCCATTGAGATACTTCAGTCAAAGGGCAAAGAACAGTAATGCTTAGGACTCCTGTTTTGAAAGATGAGAGAAAATTTGGGAATGCAAGAATATACAGATAGCAGCTTGTACTCCGGAATATTTGTATGAGTCTACTTCTCCTCATTAATAAAAATAAATAATATCAACAAGTTTTAAAATCAAGGTCAATATGTGCTCCCAGTTCAAAAACTCTAATAGTTTTTCAGTACCACTCCACCCTTTTCAAGACTTAAAAATACATAGTATAGAAAGGAATAGTGGTAAACTAGATTTTAATACTATCTGGTATTAAAACTACTTTGACAGTAGTCCAAGTGCTACAAAATGCATATGGTACAAAAATATTTGTTATTTTTCTAAACTTTCCCTAAAATAAATAGAAGGCCCATAGAAGAGTGTCAAGTAGCCAAAATTACATCTCAGATTTTTTTTAAAATAGTCATAAAACGACAGCAATCACACATTATATTTCATCACAAAAACAATACTTGAAAATAATGTAACATAAAGGTGAAGGATTAAGAATTCTTGCTAAAACTATTTTCAGTCCCAAAGAGTTCAATTTAAACATGGAAATGTTACTGTCAAGCATGGAAATCAGAAATCCAGGCAGTTCAAATGAATATAAGGATTTATTGCAAGCTCTCAATAAGAATCTGAATTATTAATGGTCAAAGCAAATTGATGGTGGATAAGAGTAAATGAAATTTAAGATGGACTGGACTTAGATATCTTGTGAGAACGAAGAGACTCAACACTGATGAGATGTTACACTCTTCCCTCAGGCTCAGCCTGGTCATCTCCTATAGTTGCATTAAGTATTACTATAGTAATATACACTCTATAGCAGATTAGAACATTTAACAAAAATGCTAAAAGTAATTTTGAAACTAGCGCATGAATTGTTCTTAAATGCATATATACATTTACAACAAAACTGCATCTCTCTCTTTTCAGAGGAACCCTGCTTTAAGGTTTGCTTATTAACATTCAAAAATCAAATTCTGAAGTAAGGATCAGAGAAACAACAGACATTTCTGTGAAATGGTGCATTCCTACCTGGGCATTCTTTTATTGCCTCCCGAAGAACAGTTATAGTGGGATGACCATATGCCATTGCCAGATATTCTTCTGTATGTTTGGTGCGGAGGAGTTCAGTTCCTGAGCCATCCGCATGGACAATGAAGAATCTAGATTATCAGTCCCACAAATGACTGAATCAATTCAATTATGCAAAGCAAATTTTAAAAAACAATTCCATACAAATTATTTGTCAAATAAAATTAAGCAATATTTATGCATAACATACCTGGGTGCATGTTCCCCATATATCACAGGAGTCTGAATTTCTGCGGGTTCAGTTACTTTGTTCTCAGCATCAATGGAAGGAATGAATGTAGATGTGCTACCATCAGCCATGACCTGCAAAAGAAAAGAAATATTTTTTCTTAATTATCCTTTCCCAAGTTCCTTCTGCAGAGGAGAAAGTTAATAAGAGTTGGAGAATGAGACAAAACCCTGATCAGTTCAATTTTGTGTCCAATGTGGAATTAGTTACCAGATCCAGTTCACAAGTAGGTTGGCAGAGAGGTAAATGGCTTTTGCTGAATGTGGGGAGGATGCAAAAAGTGATTTCTTTCCAATGTTCCTCCAGTGCTAATAGATATACTAAAATTATTTTAAAAAGAAAAACGAAAGAGAGAAAGCTGCCAGTGCAGAGTACAATATTATCAGTTCTGAAATTTCTGGAATGAGATTATCTCAAGTAATTTTGCCCTGGATATATTAATTGTCTATATTTCAGATTCGTAAATTGATGAAATATTATGGCCTACAGGAAATAAACTTTGGATTATACAGAAGCAAAGTGTGTCCTTAAAGAATCTTCATTTGTATAATATTCAAGTTAAGTATTTTTAAATACATCACAATTAATAGTTAATCCATTAAGAATATTTAAAACAAATTACATAGAAAAAAGCATTAAATAATTTGAACATTAATCTTTCAATTTACCTTGAAAATATTTCCTGTGACGTCTGTCATCTCACAAACAATCTTGGAATTGTGTTTCATAATGTATTTCCCTACACGCTGGTTCTCATCACTGGACATCAGTTCACTATCATTTTTTTCAAATGCCTCTGGTGAGTAAACTGCAGAGTAATTTTCATCGATGAAGAGGGAACCTTTGTTTATGGGTAAAATCTATCACAATGATAAAAGAAGACATTCAGAAAACACACTTTGGTTTTTAACGCTTCAGAGGGCTTTAGTATTTGTAACTAGTGAGCACATTTGCAATTTACAGAACAACAGAGTTGGAAGGCACCTGGGGGTTCGTCTAGTCCAACTCCCTACTCAAGTAGGAAATCCTATAACATTTCAGACAAGTGACTGTCCGGTCACTTCTTAAAAGCCTCCAGGCATAAAGCACCCACAAGACATTCTACTGATTAATTGTTCTGTCAGTAAATTTCTCCTTAGTTGTAGGTTGTTTCTCTTCTTGATTCATTTCCTTCCGTTGTGTCTTGTCCTGCCCTCAGGTACTTTGGAGAATAGCTTGGCTCACTCTTACTTGTGGCAGCCCCTCAGATATTGGAACACTGCTATTATATCACAATTATATTATATTGGTTCTTCTTTTCCTTAAACTAGATATACCCAAATTCTACAACCATTCTTCATTTGTTTTAGCTTCCAGTCCCCTAATCATCTTTGTTGCTCTTCTCTGAACTCTTTCTAGAGTGCATAATATCCAAAAGAATATTATAGATGTGTGCTAGAACTATTACCATGATGTGCTCCCTTAATCACAAAATATCATTTTTTCAAAAGGCGCACTAGTAAGCCTAAAGGAAGTATAAGGAATTTGTGAGTTTATGGATAACGGGATTATGGCATCTGAGTTTACCATGCAAAATTACTAGTTTCTACTTACTTTTATACATCTGCTTCAAGTATATGAGGTTCAGAAAAAAAGTAATGCCATCAAGATATTGAGTACCAAGTAAAAATTTATCTAGTTCACAACAGGCAACTGGTGAAACTCACAGAAGGATTCACCATATTACACAAGAATATGAAAATAAAACATACACTAGGTCAAAACAAAACCACTGGCAAAGCATACACTATACAGTGGGTGGGTTTTTTTACTACCAGTTCGCTTGTGCACGCTCGTGCAACACTTCTGCTCATGCACAGAAGCATCCCACCGCTACCAGTACTGGTTTGCCCATTTTGGGCCGAACCAGGAGCAACCCACCTCTGGCACTATACCCAAAACATGCAAGTCAGCTAAGATGAAAAGAAGGCAAAACTTCTATATAAATACACTATACAATCACAATATAAATATCTAATAGATATTCCTTCTAGCTGTCTTAAAAGCATTCTTGAAAATAAAGACTTTGTTGGAGGCTACTGTACCTCCTCCTAGTATGGCATTTAAAAAGAAATCTAGAATTATAAGAGGAGTGTATCTTTAAGGCACTATAGAAAGCCTGACTGCAATCAGGAGTGGTTTAGAGGTTTAGAGGTTTTAGAGGTTTTATTCAACTTGTATGCCGCCCTATTCCCGAGGGACTCAGGGCGGCTAACAAAACTGGAAGGGAGGGGAACAATACAAAAGAAAAGAAAACAAAAACAAACAACAACACAGAACCAATTTAAAAGATCTCAACAAGCACACCAGTTCGAGTGGGGATGGAACTCAGCATCCCCAGGCCTCCTGGAACAGCTAGTTCTTGACGGCTGTACGGAAAGCCTGAAGGGTGGTGAGGGTCCGAATCTCCACGGGGAGCTCATTCCAAAGGGCCGGAGCAGCCACAGAGAAGGCCCTCCTCCGGGTAGTCGACAGCCGGCATTGGCCGGCAGATGGAATTCGGAGGAGGCCTAGTCTGTGGGATCTAATGGGTCTTTGGGAGGTAATTGGCAGGAGGCGGTCTCTCAATCACAAATAAGTGATTACTTATTCAGTATAATTCTCTCTCTCTCTTTCTTTCTATCTTTCTTTCTTTTTTGGGGGGGGGAAGGTGCTTTTCCCTTTCTAGAGTAATCATTTCACCAGTGTTAGTTTTAGGAGCTGCATATTAATTGCTTTGCATAGCAATTGTTATTTTCATTTACTTAAATTGGAAGCACTGAAACAAATAGAACAGTTGAGATAAAAGAACTTTGAAGCTCAACAGATCTTAATTTCCAACTAACCTGGTATGTTCCTTGTGGCTTGGAAATAATTGAAGTGCCATCAGCAAAAACGGCACAACAAGTGCTGTCCTCAGAGTTTGTTAGGACTGTTGCAAAGTGTGGATTTTCGATACGCATGCATTTCACCTTCCTTGTGGTGGTTTGAGGGTAACTGTCTATGAAAGAAAAACCAACTCATGTTAAAAATGCATTTATATTGAACAATGTATGTTTGTGGAAGAAGACAAAAGTTTTATCTCAAAAACAGGCTAATTTAATTTTATTCCTTTTTGCACTATAATCCAAATGAATTATTGGAGTTGTACTGCATCATTTGGCGAGAAATATTGTGATGAAATAATGCTTTTGGAGAACTTCTCATTTGTTCCACTTGTTAACTATGGGAACACGAACATAGAGGAGGTGCATGGTGGGGAGGCTGCTGCAGGCCCTGTGAGGATGGGCAGATAGTTGGAGAGATATGGAGTGTGCAGTTTAAAAAAATAGAAACAGGCAATCACCAAATTTTATGATTGCTTGGGATAGTTTTAAAATATATATTTAGCACTTTTGTTATCCATCCTACAAATGTATTCCTACCACCATTGGGAGAACTTAGATCTTAGAACAGAGAAAACATTAAAGATTGGCTTTTTGAAAAGGATGCTAATAAAGATACCATTGTAAATTTTCACCTTGATTTTATCATTATAAAAACACAGAAGCCTCTCCCAGTACCCTGTTAACGTAAGTGTTTCATTGAGAAAGATTTTAACTTCCCTTCATGTGTAGACCATGCCCCCACATATCTTGAAGGAAGATTTTGTAAGCTCCCTGTGGAACAATACCTCTTTCCTTGTAGTGCTGGCCAAGTGGAAGACATTATCTATTATATTTTCCATTGCCTATTTACAATGAAATCAGGGTCAAATGGTAAATGAACTCAAAGGCCCTGACCCTGAAAAACTGAATTATCTCCTTGTAGATGTGTTTCCAACTGTCAGCAAACTAGTGACTACTTTTACTCTAGTGTCATTTAAATTTAGAAATAAATATTTAAGTTCTTAGTTTAACTTTGGCTTTATTGTATTGTAACTTTTTTACATCTAATACTTCTGTTACTCTATTATGTAGTTTTATTATGTAGTTTTATTGTAGTTTATTATATTTTATGGCATTCCTATGTTATGATCTTTGTTTACAACAATCTTTCTTACTTACTATATTTAGGACTGGATTATTGGACATGCAATATGAACGAAAAAAATAATCAGAATAGCCTGAACTTTAATATACATGATTTGGATCTGCACTTTCATTGTCTCTTTCTTGTTTAATATTTATATTTTTAGCCATAAGGTACTGAGAAGAGAACTATGTTTTAAAGATATGAACCTCATGTGCAATCATATGTGTACATTATTTGGAATTGGTCAATTTATGAGCAATCATGGGTATATCAAGTTTGAGGCATTGTGGAAAATACATAATGTATGAATACAAAAAATAGAACACCATATAAAAAATTCTAAATTAAAGTTCTTTATAGATGCAAAATGGAAAGTGTTAAATGTGATTCCATGTGGTAAAGGTTTAATCTGCTGTTCAAAATATGGCATAGTATTTTATTGTTTTATAGTATATTGTGTTCTAGTATGTTTTTCCTTTATTTTATTCTGTATTTACAGCAGCAAAACAATATTTAATAAAGTTAAAAAGAATAATATAAACCCATGCCTGATTAACTGGTTCCTGCAAGTGATCTTGACAATGGAATAAAAAAACATCTGTGTGTGTGTGTGTGTGCATGCGCACATGTGTGTGCGTGCATGCACGCACACATGCAAGATATGTGCATAAGTTCTTTAATTTGATTCAAGTATTACCATGCATGTGGTGAACAGACCAAAAGCCAATCTTTCACACACGTCAGTATGTAAAACAGCTTATTGTACTTTGAATTCTCTGGTTTGAAAAATAAGTTTTTCTCCAGTTTGAATTTTAATCTTACCAAAATACTTCCTTTCTTACCTCCCAGCAACATACCGAGGTACTTGTGAGGTGCTACAGGGGAAGATTTTTTTTTAAAATTAGGAAAAAAAGAGTTCCCAAGTTAATAATTGCCAGCCTTAATTATAAATGAAACAGGAAGTTTTCCCCCCACCATTAGGTTCTGGAGAATCTGATCATCATAAATATATGGCAAAGCATAGTACGAAGAGAGCTGCTATGAGGAACCATAATAGCTGTAGCTCTCAATGTGATTTATTTATGCACCACATCTGCAATAATAAGTGAAAAGCCAGGAATTTTTCTTTGTGACTAATCTTAGATATAGCCTCAATTTTAGATGAGGAATCTGTGTAAAGAAATGAATTAACAGCACTTAATCACTGAAAAGTGATTAAACTCATATTTTTAGAAATATAATAAAGTAATTAGAAATTAAAGGCACAAGTATTTGAAATTATCAACCACTTCTCTTATATTAACATATTACTATCTAGCAATGATACCTGCTTCCTCACTGTCATTAGGAGAAACAATTTCCACACATTCCTGGAAGAGGGTGCTTATTCTGGTGCCATCAGCATGATCTACTATTCGGGATCCATCGGTTTTCTCCACCATTAATACTTTATCTTCTCTCATTACCATTACCTAGAATATCAAATTATTAATGAAGTGTCACAAATTGATTAAATGCTCAGCAAACACGTCAGAATGTTTTAATACAAACAGTGGAGATGTAGGTTTGATCTTTTAAATTCTGAAAATGGATTGTATTACTTATAAAGGCATCAGGATACTGAACTTATAAACAAAACAGTACCGTTCCATTAACTGGATCAGTGGCCTGGTAAGACAAGAGTGGTTTCAGGTCAAGTTTTTCGGTTCCCTTGGTACCTATCTGAATGCCTAATGGGGTAGTCGTTATCCAGGTGCCAGCAAAGGCATCAGTAGATTGTTCAGGTTCAGGCATTTGTTCTTGAGCAATTGTTTCCATAGTTTCATTTTTTCCTGCAAGCAGACCTTTAGTATTTTTTCCTAGAAAATAAAAAAAAATTAGATTTATTCATACACTGGGATAATATTCTAAGTACTTCATTATATGAAGGACAGCTAAAGTGCCAGCATGTATTTTTCCAATTAACTATCTAACCACAAAACGTGGGCATCTTACTGCTGTTTGAGAATATGTGACATTATTTTTATAGAGGTACAAATACTGAACATAATTCTTTGCATTATGGATTACACAGCCTATCCTACAGAACAATGTAATATAAAATATTACCTAAAGTACTATAATCATATAACATTATATTATTTTACCCGATAACATTTATTTGTTTGTCTGTCTGACTTCTCCAACTTCAACTTCTTCCTCAGTCCTGGACTATATGACTTACTGCCTTTTTTGGTGCTTGTCTCCAGTGTGGGTGTGATCTCTGTATGAGGTGTGCTGGGTGCAGGTGGAGGTGGGATCACAGGGCCAGAGTCTGGACTCCTAATCACTGTGCCATCAGCAAAGAGTATCTTAAAACAGCAAAGCAAAATGTAATGTTGATCACTACAAAGATATGCAGTACAGCAGATACAGTACTCTGTTCAGATAAAAATTTGCCCAAAACATGTAAAAAACTCAAGAAAGTTTTATACTTGGATTAAACATTTCTACAGATTTATATTTACATTTGGATAAAACAGTTCTATAGATTTCATCTACAGGTCCCTTCCAACTCTGTTATTCTTTTAAATCTCTACTCAATAATTAAACTTCCTCAGTAGCCACATTTGATACTGAAAAATGACTGAAACCATTTGAAACATTAGCAAAGCACACGTGCATCTAAGCCAAGAGAAAAATAATAATTAAAACAGAAAAAACATAACATGCAGGGATATATACAATACCTTATCATTATTTAAGGCGAAGGGTTTTATGATTCAGTGAGGATTTAATTTAGTAACAAAAAGAAAATTTACATTCAACACTAAATGAATATACCTGAGTGGATCCATCTATCATGTACTTTACAACAGTCCCTTGTCTTGTTATTACTCTGGATACTTCTTGCTCTATTGGTTTCTTCACTGTTTTCTGAAGTTGCAACTGTTTTACTCTTTGTGGATAGCTCTGCCTAATAAATATTTCAAAAGGAGATTCCTTGTCCATACTGTTATCCTCTGATTCCATCTCAGCCTTGCTGTCCATGGCAATCTCATTCTTGATGGTAAGATCTGCTCCAGATTCAACACTGGTTTTGGCATTGATGGTCTTGTCTCCATTGTCTTTAGCTAGAGGTTCATGGGGCTGAGCCTGCTTTTCTTTGCTGTCTTCTGTTTTGATTTCTTCCAGCTTGACTTCACCTGATTTAGTCTCATCTGTTTTGCTGTCTTCATCATCATTTTTGTCTTTCTCTCCTTTTTCCTCACCTTTTACATATCAAAATAATTTTGTTAGTCAGTTAAAATGATTACAGTAACAGTAGTATATGAAAACTTATGGGCCTTTCCAAAGTTACAAAATGTTAAACCTAGAAACCCAGTAAGTATGATACAAACACTGACCCAAATGTATACCTTATACCTCATCTGACTGAGGTATACCTCAGTCAGAGAGGAAAGGCAGTAGTTCAAATTTTAAATGTAATACTACAAATGCTCTATTCATATCTATTTTAATCCTGCAAATTAATACTTTTACCATTAGTGCCATTAGCTCCACTTGTTATCATACATTGAACAGAATGCCACCACAGTAAATCAAAGACTTTTCAGCAATAAAATGGATATGACATTTTTTAATTGTAGGGAAAACCATCCCAGGCCAGAATTCTGATTTAGAAGATAAAATGTGAATTTTTCCTTATTCAGATATCCTTATATGTAATTTCATTCTAGCTGAATTGGGGTACTTTCCATTCAGAGCTTTAATAGAAAATATGTCACCATCTCCACATAGTTGAACTAAAAACTTCAGTAGATCCTGGTTCATCATACATTTACTATATTTCCTGCTTGCCTTCAATTTGCTTACTAGAGGATATTTTAGTCACCAAAGCTAATATTGCTATTTCTTTTTGTGTGGACTAAAACCTTCTGTACTCAAGAAGTAATATAAGAGCTTTCATTACCTAACCCTGATGGAACATTAACAGCACAATAGTTTTTGTAAAAAAAAAAAAGTTTATTCAACCAACCTGAGAATTTTTGACCAATAAAGGTAAGTACCAATCCATTTGGAGAAGACACATTCAAAGTATTGAAAACACGGGTTTCGGGAACAGCTTGGTTTTGGATTGGCTCATTTCTTTCGGACTACAGTATGGAAAAGAAGCAAAAAATGCTAATGTATTTAAAAGCATTTGCAAACATTTCAGCTCTCCATAGTGATTAATAGCTTTAAGGATTAATAGAGTAGCGCACTAGTACGTAAAATTTCTGAAAAGTTTTTGCCAAGTGTTAATTTAATTTTAGCATTAGCAAAGGCATTTAAATATTTTGAGAATAATTTTCTATTGGTTTTAGATTCTGCGCTTGTCAATTGCTTGCCATAGTATCTAAGAATTTTTTTATGTAATACATTAAAAAAAATTTTTTTTTACCGTAATTTGGTATGGTTGCTTGGCTGCAAAGCACAGACCATTTCCAGCTTACAACCCTTGCAACATCCCCATGATCATGTGATTGACATTGGATGTTTGGCAATGGATTCATATTTATGATGGTTGCAGTGTCCCGGGGTCACGTGATGACCATTCACAATCTTCTGACAAGCAAGTCAATGCAGAAACCAGATTCACTTAACAGCCGTGCTAATTTAACAACTGCAGTGATTCATTTAACAAACGTGGCAAGAAAAGTCATAAAATGGGGCAAAACTCACTTAACAAATTTCTCACTCAATGGTAACCATAGGTTGAGGACTACCTGTATGTAGGAAACATACCACGGTAGTAATGGGGGACTAACTACCTTGACATCAACTGGGAGACACACACTGCAACAAGTAGGAGATCAAACAGGCTCCTGACCTGCTAACAACTTCATTATCCAAAAGGTAAAGGACGCAACTACAGGGACAGCCATATATTTACCAACAGAGAATAAGTAATAGAGGGGATTGAAGTTGCAGGAACTCTAGGGGAGAGTGACCATGCCATATTAGAATTCAATACAACCAACAGAACATAATCAAAACAGCATCTCAGATTGATTTTAACAAACTTGGGAAGGATCTCATGGATGAAAGCTTGGGGAGGATCCTATGGATGAAAATCTTAAAGGGAAATCAACTCAAGCTTGGAAAACTGAGAAAAATACAATTATGAAAGCCCAGTCTCATTCAATACCACTAAAAAAGAAAACCAAGGGAGGGAGGAGCCAACGTCGCAATGATACGAATGTGTGGTCTCGATGCTCCGAGACTGCAGCCGATACTTTTGCCGCTGGGTGGTCCAATTGGACCTAAACATCCCGAAGAGACGGTGAACAGGAAGAATACATCTTGCTGACCTCAGGGACATAGCAAAGTCCCTGATTGATACAAGAGAAGTTCTTCAAGCGGGCAACAAAAAATCCAGCCAAGGCTGACAAAGTCGGGACGGCTCCAAAACAGAAGGATATGGAAAGAGAAAGTTTTTCCAGCTGGTGAGGAACTTTTACCATTTTAAAAAGAGACTGCCTATAAAAAACTTAAAATTAATTTAAATTGGAGAACAGAATAAATAAGCGGCAGAATTAAATTTGGAATGGTTTTGGACAGGGGGTTATCTTACGTTTTAAATGCTATCTTCATGGATGGGATTTATGCAAGCCTTTTAAAACGAATGGATTAAGTTTTCTTCTGTTTTTTTTCCCCTTTTATTATTCTCTGTAACCTATGGACTAAAATTTTCCTCTTTCATTACTGTGGGTGTTCTCCTAACTCATTTAAGAATCGGACTTTTTTTCTTTTAACTTGAAATACAAAAAGAAACAAGAAAAATTGCAGCATAATACTGCTACTTGGAGGCTGGAAGGTTTGTGTACTGGAAACAAAACATTCTTTTTTCTCTCACTGATTATTTTGGTTTAGCAGTACAAGGTCTCACTGCTTGGTTATAGAGACTGATAAGAAGGAAAGCACATATATGTCCCTTTGAAGTATATCTTTAACCAGAAAAAAAGTGAAAGCAAAATATTATTGTGAATCTATGCTTAATTTTATTAACCTTCCAAGCCAGAGCAGCTGTGTTTGTTAGTTGGGGATAATGGCACAATTTCAACAGCAGAAAGAAATAAGTCTGCAAAAGATATTCACAGAAATACAGAAACTACCAAATACATATGAGAGGATAGAGAAGAAGCTGGAAGACTTAGCGCATC